CGGGAGAGAAAATCTCATCAAATTCAATACCTTCCTTTTGTTGAAAGCCTTTGTACAAGTCTTGCCTAGTACCCTTTTGCTGCCATCGAACTCCTGTTTGATTCTATATACCCATTTATTCTGCAAAGCTTTCTTACCTCTTAGTAACTCAATTAGTTGTCATGTCTGATTAATCATTAGAGAATTCATTTCATTATTATGGCTAAGTCCCACTAAATAGAGTCTTTTAGCTGAACTGTCTCTTCATAACATTCAAATGTAATTCAATGTAGGAGAATACCTCTATGATGGTCTGATCATTCTGCTAGATCTTTAAATTATTGTTGGTGGTGTTCTATTAACCTCATCAGTTTCCGCAACTGGTTCTTTAGATTCCACAACTTATTCATCAGATGCCAGAACTGTTTCTTCAGGAGTTATTGAATTCTAATCTTCAATCTCTATTGTTTTGGTCTCAACCTCAAGAGGACTTATATATCGAGTCTTCTCTGTGCTTCCATCTGACGTTGTCTTTCCTGAATCAACTTTATTTCTATCTCTATATAAGACTTCCTCATTGAAGATCACGTTCTTGCTTATGATAATTTTCTTGTTCTGGTCCTCCTAAAATATGTGACCTATCTCAACTCCATCATACCGAATAAAGAAACATTTCTTGGATTTAGCATCCAATTTATTCCTGTCTGTAGCATCAGAATGAAGGTAAGATATATAGCCAAAACCATTAGATGGTAAAGGTTTACTTGTTTACTAATCCAGACTTTTTCAGGCAATTTGAAGTCTAATGATGTGGTCGGGCTCCTATTGATCAGATAGATCGCACAATTGATTGCCTTTGCTCATAACATATCTTAGGTTGTTCTACATATATTTTCATGCTCCTAGCACGCTCATTCAACATCATGTTCATTCTGATTTATGTTTGATAAAATAAGTTCATACCTCCCTACTTGAGTCGTCTATGAAAGTTACATAGTATATGGAACCTCCAATTGAAGAAACTTTAGAAAGCCCCCACAAATCGATGTGAGCAACTCCAATTTTGTAGACTACTTCCCAAATACGCACCCTTCACATAACTTGTGTTCCACTGCCTTAAGTCCTTCTAGCTTCCTAATTGAATGAAAAATTTTCATACCTTTTTCACTCATATGTCCTAGCGAACAAAGTACCATTGAGCCTCCCCTCAAGTAGTCTTGATAGAGCACAACTACATATTATATCGTGACTACATCTGTTGAGACTCACCCCACTTCTTTGTTTGGCACTCGAGGATTCACCGACACAGTGAGGTTTCGATCATGGCTCTGATACCAACTTGTTAAGGATAACGATACATCTACTACCGCGAGCATCTCCGCAATGGTATGATATTGTCTACTTTGGGCATAACCCTCACGGGTTTGTTTTTTGTTTCACTTAAAAGGTCTCATACCAATGAAGATAATTGTCCTATCTTATATACCTATCATCACCTCCTTCCCTAGCCAATGTGGAACTTTGTTTACATTCACCTTAAAAACCCAACATTATTAACATCAGCTCGACCCTTATGAAGATTGGCCATTAAGGTTGTTGTAGGTCGGCTCGACCTTTATGATGTTCTGAATGACCAATCAATTTATACTTCGGCTCGACCTTGAAGAAGTGTTCGAGCTATTTATATCTCCATCAAACATCTTGTTTCGTATAGAGTCACAAAATGACAGTTCATCATTTTTTGACTTTTACAATATTGACACGGGGTGTTCAAGAAATCACGATCTCCAACTGTTACCTAACAAAACATTAGATTCATTACAACTAATTTCAATTGTCGGATCAAATCATTACAGACTAAAATTTAGAGTCTAAATTATTAAATAAATCATACTACATGGACCAAAAGTGGTTTCAACGTAATAAAAACTAGGAGTAAAATGAACTCTTCATCTCTTACAAGTGAGAAATGGAAGGGTCATTCTTTATCATAAACCCAATACCAAACACATGGATGACTCGAAATCATTTTAAATTCATTTTCTCACTAAATCTGATTTTATTTCGTTGAACTTAAAAAAAAAAAGATATTACCGTTTGTTCCCACCAAATAATAAAGGGAGAGAAAAATAAAGTCTAGAAGGGGGAAGCTTCGTGGAAGTTGCCATGGGAGTGGGGGAGTGGCTTCTCTCCCACCACCATTTAACCCTCTCATCTTCTTCCCCTCTAATCGCCTCAAATCCTCACAATTTCCTCTCTCCTTCCTCTTTCTCTCTCTTCCATTTCCATGAAGCTCATCAAAAACTTCAGCCCCAAACGGCTCTTCGGCTCCAAGAAGGAGCGGTCCAAAGTGACCCGGTCCGACCCGCCGTCCTTCGCCTCGTCGTCCTCCTCCTCCGCCGCCACCCCCACCAGCGTCCTCCCTCGCGCCCTCTCCGCCGACGACTGGCCCTCCGACTTCTCCTCCGACATGGCCCGCCACAGCCGAGTCTCCAGGAAACAGCTCGAGGCTCTCCTCGGCCTGTCCGGGGCTGACCCGCCGAGCCACGAGGAGGTGGCGGCGATGCTCAGCGAACTCGACCGCCACGGGGACGGCGTCGTCAGCGTCGAGGCGCTGATGAGCCACGTAGGAGGCGCCTGCGACGAGGATCTCCGAGAGACGTTCGAGATCTTCGACGCGGACGGCGACGGGAGGATTACGGCGGAGGAGCTGTTCAGCGTGTTCGTGGCCATTGGGGAGGAGGAGCGGTGCACGTTAGAGGACTGCCGACGCATGATAGCCGGAGTCGACAAGAACGGGGATGGGTTCGTCTGCTTCGAGGACTTTGCGCGTATGATGGACCACCACCACCACAGATGATCCATTCCCTTCATCTCTTTCTTTTTTCTATCAATAAAACGCAAAAGGAAATTGAAAAATATCTCTCTTTTGTTATTAATGTGTGCCAAAAAAAGAAAGAGAGAGAGAGAATTGAACCACAGCCAGATCGGACGGTTGAGGTTGGCCGATCACGTCGAAAATGTTTGAGATTGTTGAGAGTATATAAAATGCAAGGTTGTGGGATCAGACAACATCGGTCAATGTCAATCACCCCTTGTGGAAAACAAATTTATTTTATTTATTTCTTTGCTTTTCTAGATTTTTCTTTTCTTTTTCCTTTTTTTATATCACTGTTATTATTTTGGGATTGAGAATGCCGCAAACAAAGGAAATGTGCCATTATTGAGGGAGCAATCAAATGCAACTCGTGGTAATTAAACTTTTGGGCAAATTTAATTTAATTTCCGGATATTAAATTTGTAATATTCAATTGTTTATTAATATTTCAAATTCTACTTTCTTTCACACTTTAAAAATTCAACAATCTCCCTCATGAAAGAAAGTGAGACAGACAATACAAAAACCAAGACGTTGAGAGCAAATAGATAAGTTATGTACCAAGAGAGAGGTGTCTTTTAAACCTTCCTTAGTGAATATCTATCGAATTTATCAAAGAAATAGTGAGAACTAGCTCTAGAACTATTCTTCTCGTGATAAATTGAGACAACAAATATCACACATAAGTTATTTGTATTTTTGAGTTCTATGCGGTTGTGTCCATTTTGGTTATGGACAAGATCCTGAATTTATGAGAGCTTTAGAGAACATATGCCATTTGAAAAGTACTCATAGAACCAACTCACTTCTACTCTCACACGGGTGATATTAATTAAGAGCATTCTGCCATTACCCCTCTTGTAACCAAGATATCTCCTCGGTGTGTTGTCCTAAACTCATAGTTTGTAATTATGTAAAAACAAATTTATATTCAATAAAGTTTTGTTTTTCTTATTCAACCAATTTGTTGTTGAATTTACTATATTGCATTATTCAAATCCAATAAACTAAACATCCAAGGTTATTATCATATAACCATGACAATATATACATTGGGTATATATTTGATATATATATGATATACAAGTGGATAATGTCCCAAGAATAACCTAAAGGGTCTATAGTATATAGACAAGGTTCGGTACCTTATCCTGACAACACTGTGGATACGGCTCACTTTGTAAATGTTACAAATGACTCGATCCAGGTCGTTCGTGTAGAGACATGCGAGTGATGGTATCCTGCATAATGAGTTTGTATAAGATCAGACCACGAAATAGTCAATCTTTAAATGTAACGTCGTTGATTAATAGATTGCTATTTCATAGGATGATTAGGCAGTTCATTCTCAATTCTGAGTGAGTTATGGACTCTTGCCCATGAGCACTCGTTCTTTGATCTGCATGGGTGAGAGTGGCCCGAGTCGCCAACTCAACATTATTACCATTTTGGGGACAAGACCGAGTGAGGTGCTGGAAATATAACTTTATAAGATGAAATTTACTCCTTCCTAACTTTAGGGGAGTAGATAAGTGTTCCCTTTAATGCTGACTCTGTGACTTAAACATGGGGCCCCACCCTCGTACTAGCCAAATAGAGACTTCCAGTTATTGGTTTGATCATAATCAAGTTGTTCATTAGAGGATCAGTAGTATTTAAGGTACAAGATGTGACAAAGGGTAAAACGGTAATTTGAACAATTTGTGGTTACGAACACTTGTGAAGGACTGACTTGTCGTTAATGGTTGTACATCCGTGGACACGAAAATATATTCTGCAGTGAGAAGAGTGCAGGGTCTTTAGTGGAGTGACCCATAGTTAACAAATGTTCATTGACTCGACTAATGCGCTTAACTAATTAATTTCGTATCTTTGGAACTTCTGATCTATAAGTCCATTAGGTCCCCTTGCTAACTCACAATGGGTAAAACAAGAGTCAAGAATTATGAAATAATTTTAAATGTTCAAATTATATAGAATGTATATAATGTATAACATTATATATAAATATATATTAATTTTAGATAAAGATTCAAAATTAATATTATATATTATGAGAAAAATGTTTGAATATGGTTCAAACAATTAATCTGAAATTCATTTTAAGACTATAAGTTATACGAGAAAAGTTTTTGAATATGATTCAAATATATATTTTTAATTAAATATGTGGTATTTAATTAAAAGATAAATAATTAATTGTTAATTATTTAATTAATATTTAAATTTGATTAATTAATTATTAATTAGATTAATAATTAATTAAATTAGTTAAATGTTAATTAATTTAATTATTATATATTAATTAAATAAATAAATTAAAAAGAAAGAAAAAATAATAATAAACCCCCAAAACGTAGGGAGTAGTGAGGTACCCAGCATAATATTTTTAAATTAAGTTTTGCTAAAATTAGTTCATAAAAAATTTTGTGTGAAAATTGATCAAACATACTAAGTTTTATTAGTTCATAATTTTTTTTTACACGAAATAACAAAAAAAAAATTAATTTTTGTCCTTGTAGTTGGCAAAATATGAGTTTCATGACACCTTAAACTCAGGCATTTAAAGGATTGTTAAAAGGATATTGCTTCTATGGGTTAAGTGAAATACAAGAGAAATACAAGATAGAGGTTTTTTACAAAATTGATCGAACTTTAAATAAAGATGACACAGGATTATTCCTCTTCCATTTGGACCTGGACGAGAATGGTTGTTTTAGAACCGGAGGACAAAAAGGGAGAGGAAAGGAGAGAGGAAAGGTTCAATCATATCAAATAATGTTATTAGAGTAATATAGGGAAATTTGGTTGAATAGGCATTCCGTAAGCCTTTTTTGTTGTTTAGGCGTCATTTTGAAAACATAAGTTTTCTAGACGATGTGAAATTATGTATTTACCATTCTCCCACCTTTCTTCTCTTATCTCATTTTTCACATTTTTCTCTCTTTCATTATTATTTCTCTTTCTTATTCTTCGACTTCTTCTCTCTATATTTTTCTTCCTCATGCCCCATCTCTATCTTTCTTATTTTGTCAAATTTACTTAATTTTTTTTTCTGTTGATCGAAATCAGTAAAGGGGAAAGAAAGAGGAAAAAAAATACAAGATCCAAATCCCTCACCCTCTCTCTCTAAAAACCCACGCCCAACCGACCACTAACTTTTTCTTTTCTCGCTCTTGTCGTTGTCGCTCAGAACTCGTTCAACTTTTTGTTCTTTTGATACATCCGATTTTGAGTGAGATTGAAAGGGAGAGAGCGCGAGAGCGAGATCGAGATCGAGAAAATGAGCGAGAGTGAGATCAAGACCTCAACCTTTTATTCTTTTGATGCATCTGATTTTGAGCAAGAGTGAGATCGAGAGAGGGTGCGAGATCGAGAGCGATAGCGAGAGATCATGAGATTGGGAGAGTTACTTAGGAGAATATTGAAGAACGATTAGTGCGAAATACTTCTGGTTTTTTTTTTCCCTTTTGTAATTTCCACAGTTTATTTATTTCTCTGGCTTTTTCTGCAACCTACAAATTCATGATCTCAATATACAAACATAAGATTTTGTTTTATTGTCTCTGTAATTATTGCAATTTGTTATTGGGAAATTGAAGACCCTGAATAATTTCTCCTTCCACAGAAATATCCAAACACAACCAAAATATATGAAAATAGGAAGAAAACTGTAAAAGCACAAGAATAACGACACAGCAAATTATACTGGTTCACCCACTAAGGGCTACGTCCAGTCTTCCACTCAGATGTGGGTAATTCACTAATAATTGTTTAAGGATTAGAATACAAAACTCTCCCCAAAAATATCCCCTAGAGGTCCCAACAAAAGTCCTCTAGCTTCTAAGTATTATAATACACTATACTTAGGTACAAGAATGAAAAACACTCACTAAATCCACTGGATACAGAATCCTTTTCAACACTGCCCACAACCACTCAAGTCTCTTTTATTTGGATTCTGTACAAATGAAACCTTAACATAAAGGCTCTATTTATAAGAGACCAAATATCCTAATTCTTATAGGAAAATAATATTGTAATCCTTATAAGACAACAATATCCT